GGCAAAGAGAATTTTGGGTGCACCCAATATTACGAGATAGACTGACGCATGAAATGTTTGCGACGTTGTATCCAAAACTAAGACAAAATAAATTCAAGTTTTTTAATTCTTTTAAAATATCTATAAAATCCTTTGACGATGGTTGGTGTTTTTTAGATATCATCAATAAATAGATCAGTATCGAAATGATCGTTTTCCATTTCAGCACATATATCTCAAAGCGCTTGGCTGACGCCCGCAAAACGCGCGATCGCATGTACGGTAACATGGCAGCACATATAGCTCAAAGCGCCCGTAAAGCGCTCGCAAAACGCGCGTTTTAACAAAAATCTATAAACGCGCGTTTAACGCTCGCTTGGCGTTTGAGTGTGTACGGCTACATAGAACTCTTGGTTCTTTAAAACGCGCGTTAAGCGCGCGTTTAAAAGCGCGCGTTTAACGCGCGTTGAAAAACGCCTAGTGTGTACAGGGCCTAACGTATTTTTCATTTGCATCACTATTGAAAAATACCTTTTCTTATCGGATATAAATACATTATGCTTGTTCAGTTTAACCTGATAAAAATCAGAGTTTTTCGGTAAAATTCACATGAATAACACGGAAATAATTAATGCAATTATTACAGCATCACACAGCAATAGGTTATGACGTCTGTTAATAATCAAAGGGGGATGGGTGTTCACATGTCCAACCACACGGAAAAATGTCGGGCTGTAACCAGTCACAACTAGTTACAATACAATAGAAGGCGGGATTTACAAAAGAGCGCAAAATCGATATCTTAAATTACAAAGTCCGTTTTTATAAGATTATTTTTTATTATAAATCTATTAACCATATCAAATTTTTATTCATTTTCTAATGAAGAAAGGCGAAGTATCGTTACGCTTAATTCGAAGTAGGTCTGCGAGAAGACTATAATCGCTCGAAAACTAAATTCGATGGGTTAGAAAAAATTCTCACTGCTTCTTTAAAAAAGAAGTTTTATGAAAAGAAGGTAATTTTCTAACGATATTTCATATATTAATTTAAAATTTCGTAAAAAGAAATATCTTAAGATGTTACCTTTTTGTTGTAGGCGATATCTGAATTAGAATATTCATAAAAAGGTTACCACCTTTTCGCATTTATACAGTAGTCGATACTAAATCCAGCAAAGAAGCTGTACGAAAATGGAAATTAAGGGTACAAATGCCGATAATCCTCCACAAAAGTTCGAAACTGAAATGAAACATCTAATCGACGAAGGGATAGAAGAAAATGGCGGAGTTAGTGAGAATACAGAATCTCTTCGTAGTATATTCTCACAAGTATTTTTTCCGTTTTTGATCGCTGGTTTAGGAACTGTCGCTGCAGGTTTAATTCTGGATATTATTCAGGTAAGTTTTTACTAATTTAAAAATATATATTTTATGAATTTTAAAGTTTTATGTCATTAACATAAAAATGATATTAATATTATCGAAAACAATATAAAACTTTACAAGCGTTTCGTTTAAATATTAAGATTATTACTTCATCGAATGTATTATACATTTATTTTACAAAATTACTCTTTCTGCCCCATAATATGGCATACGTAACTTTTATACTGGAAATTTCTATGTTAAATTTATATGAAGTTTGCTTATTCTTAATGTAAGAAAGTTAAAATAAATGTTACTCCAAATCTTTGAAAAATGCTACCTTGGTTACTATTTTTCTCGTCTAACAACTCAAGTTTACTCATTTCTGAAAGTTACTTTCTTAATTCTAATAAGTGTTCTCCAGTGGCCGAGTGGATCATATTTTCAATTCCTGTCTACTTGGCCATTAAAAGTGTGCCATTTCGTACCATCCGAGTATCGCGATAAACGTGACAATGATAGGATAAAATAACCAAATTCTTTATATGATTTTCATTTTAATGTTTGTTATATTATAGTATTTTATTTATATAACTATGAAGGTTATTTTACATAAGGATTTATCACACCGAATGACAAATCCAACGTATTTTAAAAATTCGTTATGTCCCTACTGTATACAATTTAAAGAATTTTTAAAATGCGTTAGATTGGGCACTTAGTGTGATAAACCCTTACGTAAAATAAGTAGTTATATAAATCAAACACTGTAATATAATGTAATAGAAGAGTTAGAAGTACAAAATAATCTAATAAACTTAATGTTTGTTCTTATGTTTTGTCCGGGCAACTCTGGGCTTATCTGCTAGTTTTATTATATTTTAAAAATATTTGATCACATTTTTTCGATAAAGAAGTTCGTCGACATTCTTAATCATACAAAGCAAATAGATTAAGAGAACTTTGAAATCAAGAGTTTATAAATAAAATTGTACATAAAAATAAGGTTAAAATAGAGGTTTTAAATAGAAGAGAAAATATCAAATATATAAAATTATGTTGATAAAATTAATTGAAATTATACATAAAAAGTATAAAAATTATTCGAAAATTAAAACAAATTTTGTGTGAAAAATATACGAAACAAATTTGGAAATTCTCTAATTTTAGAGAATTTGTGAAATATTTGGTGATTCTGTTTTTAGAGTAGATGATGATCAAGATAACACGAATGAAATCATTTTCAAAAATTTTTACTTATTTTCAATGTAATTTAGTTTCTAATTGAAGCTGTATTTATTAATTATAATTATTAACAAAGATTATTTAGGAATATTATTTTTTTAATTATTTTTGCAAATAATAAAACATTTTATTTCTAAATTTTAGATTGTGAAATGGCCTAAAAGTTACTGCTTCCCCGTATTTATTTTGACACATTCTAAATTTATTTAAATATAATTTGTAATTTATTCTAAATTTATATCATTTTTTACCTTAAATATGTTTGATATTTCGAAATATTTTAATGCTGTAAATTACTATAATTTAATTTTTTTGAAGTGCTTTTTTTATCCCGATAAAGGTGTAAAATTTTTTATTTTCTTGAAATTCTTACGCGTTTATGATAAACTTACAGACAACTAATATTGTAAATTTATAGAAATAAGCAGTAGGATGGATGCAATGCGTTATTTTATGTATATTTAAAAGCCATTTTCAGTTACAATTGCCAAGGAAAGATCTTTTCGATACCTTTCAAAATCGTATACGATGAATTTATCAGTTTATATTATTATATAATTCAATTTTTCCTTTTTTCCTAAACTCGCTAATATCCCAATGGATAAAATCACTGAACACTGATAGTTAGTCGCGGATTAGCGCGTCATCAATGGGCTGACCATATGAATTTTCTGGGCTTTCTTATGTGTTTAACACCTAAATAGGGGCTATTTTGCCATAGAAAGTATTCTCTTTCTTTGGCAGATAGCTCAAGAGTTGTATTTCCTTATTTCAGTAATACAGCCCCTCTTTCTAAACCCGTGAAAGAAAGAACATTGATCTAAGGTTTTCGAGATTAGTAAATGTTTTAGTTATAATAGATGTGTTTTAAAATACACTTTCGTTAAATAACTTATATTTAAATTTTTATTTATATATTATTTATTTTTAGTACTGGAGTGTCTTCAAAAATTTACCGGAAATGTTTATTCTTGTTCCGTCTTTGTTGGGTCTAAAAGGAAATTTGGAAATGACTTTGGCTTCCAGACTGTCTACTCAAGTACATTTTTAATACGAAAATTAAAAAAAATATATATATATAAAGCAATAATATTATATTGAATTAATAAGGGATTTTTTCTATGAACAGGCAAATCTCGGTAATCTGGATCAAACTAAAGAACAATATCAAATTGCTAAAGGAAATCTTGCCCTCGTTCAGGTATGTAAATATTATAAAACTTCAATGTAAAATTATATTATTCAGATCGGAATTATAATAAATATAACTTTTTCCAGTGCCAAGCTACTGTTGTAGGATTTTTAGCATCGTTATTTGCGATATTAGTCGATTATATCGAAGAAGGTACATTTAGTATAAATCACGCATTTTTGATATGTGCTAGCAGTTTGCTTACTGCCTCCATAGCAAGTTTCCTCTTAGGTATTTTATATTAATATAGATTTATTTAAAATATCACATTTTTATTATATAAAATACCATTTAAATTCTTATCTGTTAGGTTGCGTAACAATAGGAGTAGTTATCATCTCTAGAAAGTGCCTAATTAATCCCGATAACGTTGCAGCACCAGTTGCAGCTTCATTAGGTGATGTTGTAACTTTAACTCTTCTTTCAGTTTGTAGCCAGTCTTTATATTCACTAGATGACAGTGAGTAAATTTTTAAAATATTCTACAAATTCTTCGATGCTTTACATTATAAATATATTTAAAAATTTATTTAATTCATAGACATTAAACAATGGATTCAAATTCCAATAATTGTAATTTTAATCTCTCTGGTACCTTTATGGTGGTTGATCGCTTACAAAAACGAATATACCAGAATTATTCTCTATACTGGTTGGGTCCCCGTAATAACTGCTGTAGTAATTGCTAGGTAGGATCTTAATTAAATTATTAATCATTCTAATAATTACATAATTAGATAATTTTAAAATTCATTTATATGTGTTTCAGTGCGGGAGGTTATATCTTGGATACCACTGTTTCTCAATACAAAGAAATTGCTGTTTTCCAACCGGTTATCAATGGTACGTTTTAATTTATTAAAACACTTTACAATTTAAACATTATTAAAAATTAAATACGGCCTATAAAACGTATCTCTAGTATATTTTAAATTTAAAAAAAAAAAATGTAATGCTCTTAGACATAATCTAGATCTTATTAAGTTCTCAAAATGAGGATTAAATATCTCAATTTTAGAAATTATTGCCAGTTGCTAATCAGAGACATCCTAAAATATCTTTAAGCAATTTTATACAATTTACGATAAGATACTTAGATATCAAAGTTAGTATTCAGTGAAATTTTACAAACTGATAATCAGTTGCAGAATTTAACTGAGTCATAGTTTTGTTGCCAATCGTTTAAACAGAGTATTGCTTTAGAAATATAATTTCTAAAAGAAAGACTTTCTAGTAACTCTAAATATACTTTTATAAAGAAATATTACATGAAATTTCGTGAAAATTTCAAGTATTAAAAGCGAAATCTGAATATAAAGATAATCTTCCATGTTGTATTGATAATTTTGATCTTAATTTTATTTGAATGATTCTGTTTATCTACTATATCACATAATTATCATCTTTATTACCGTAATTATAAATATTAATAATTGTTTAAAACCCCATCGAAATCCTATTTATATTATTTATAATATATAGTATAAAAAGAGAAATTAACTCCTTATGTAATTTTTTTAATTTTTACAAAAATGTTTTTTATCTTCAAAATTTCAATAAAGCATGTTACATTATTTTAAGTTCGAAATATTAACTAATCGAATGATTATTTTAAGAAGAAATTTAATTTATTATTTACTTCATAATTTAGGTGTAGGAGGTAATCTGGTAGCTGTTCAAGCCAGTCGTATATCTACTTCTCTCCATCAAAGAACAAAACTTGGCATACTGCCGACAGGTGATACAAAACGTTGCATCGATCCCTTCTCTGCATTTTTTGGAAAGAGTGAGTCTCTTTAAACTATATCATCGTATACTATAATAATACGTGGACGTGAATAATACTAGTATTATAGAGTTTATTATAAATCCACACAAACACACATATTCTCCCGCTATCATAAAAGATCAGTAAGATAAACTACCTTCACTACGTTAGGGTAAATTATTATAACAAAGTAAAGATCAACAAAGCAATAAAAGTTAAGAGTACGAATTATTTTGAATAAAAATAATAAGTTTATATCAATATTTCCCAAATTTTTTGTAAGTAGTTCCAATGGAGAACGTTTAATCTAATCACGAGAACAGCTGATAATTGCGTTTGATGTCTCCTAATTATCTAGAGTAGAAAGCATTATTTTCAACAGAATAAAAAACAAAAAAACATGTATACGTAGTTGCCTTGCGTGTAAACTGTTATAGTTAAACTATTCAAGTTTACCCGAATAGTTTAACTGTAACTTTTAACATAAGCTAACTACCTGTATTGAACAATTAGAATTAGACGTTGTTTTATTGTATTTTGTAAAAATATAATATACTCATTATACTGTAATATATCTCGAATTATTTATATTTTTCGTTTTTTAAAGTGAATTCAAATAAAGTAAACTTCTCAGTTAAACTAATAATATGTGTATAATACCACTTTGTATATTATTAACACACAATATTAACACCAATGTAGTATTATACATTAGTAATCGTTAAATGGAAGACAAGTATTTTTTCCTTTATTATTTATCCTTCGACTCAAATATGTTCTAAAAATCTAAAAACATAATTCACGAAAATACTGAAGTTCATTAAAAATTTCTCTTAAACTTTTGTTTCAATTGTCTTTTATTTTTTATTTTTAAGCTATTTAATAAGCATGTCACTATACTCTGATGGAATTTTGTTAAATATCCTACATAACAGCTATATTTAAAATAATAATAAAAGTTTGTCTTAATTTTAAAGAAAATAAAAATTTTAAATAAAATAAATAAAATTTCATTAAAACTCGTTGAAATTTATAAAGATCCTCACGTACGGACCGCAAATCTGCTTCTTTTTATGGTAATTCCTGGACAATATTTCTTCCTGATGATCATTCATGTTCTGAAGTACGATTCACCGGACGTTCCTCCTCTATTTTATGTACTCTATCCGGTAGCCGCTCTAATTCAGGTAATCCAGTTTTATAATTAACTTATCATTAAATTAATTATTTAATTTCTCTGAAAATGTGTCACTAATTTATCAATTCAATTTACAGGTAGCAATTCTTTTGTATTCGGCATATTGCATGATTCTTTGGATGTGGAAATGGAGCATCGATCCTGATAATTCCTCTATTCCCTATTTAACTGCCTTAGGAGATTTGTTAGGAACCGCTTTATTGGCTATTGTTTTTTATGTTTTATATTCGTCGAAAAATTATACTCCTGCCTGATATTTATTTATTTTTTTAAAATATTTTATGTCCTCTGTACAGACAATTCGATTCAAATTATTTTGTTTACTTTTAATAAATGAAGTTCTAATGAGTTGTATCTTATATAAAAAAAAATATATTTTTATAAAATAAATGATTGTTAAGTTTCTGAAATGTTATTTTTTAATTTTATTTTTATAATAATTTTTATTTAATATTAAAATGCGTTAGGCGGCAATCCGAAAACTACTTTTGATCTAGGCGGTAGGCTTGGAGGAACCGGCTTGACCGATAAACCACGTGAATTTTTCGAAAATGGTCTGTCTTGGATGTGTCAGGCTCTGTTCCTGGCTACCTGGCAGTTCCATTGTGGACCTAATCAAACCCATGATGGGCCTGATAAAAATAAAGCTTTCTTTGTACCACGGGGCAGTAAGAGTTAAAATTTTCTTCAATAAATTAACGCCAAAAACAAACGATTCTTATGAGCATTGTGAAGCAATGCTCATAAGAATAATGCTCATTACATTCTCAATAAGACAATAAGAAGATAATGCTCATGACATATGTAATCATTTTTGTAATTGCAATAAAATTATTGTAGTTTGTTTTTAACTCCCGAAATTTGTTAGGAAACGTTTATAATATGCAAATTAACGGAACAACAGCGCCAAATTTTGTTCTAGCGGTTGAATTTTGAAGGGAAATCGAAACCTCGTACCTAGGACAGTATGTCGGCGTAAACAAAATTTGCTTGAAATTTTCTCATTAGTTATCATTTATTAAAAATCTCAGAGTTCTCTGTAGTAAACTTCAGAGACATACTCTTTAAATATGATCTCTCTTCAGCAAGCAACACAGCTAAAGAAGCTAGGGTTATGAGAGTTCATCCACCTCTGATTATACAGTATTTCTGAAAAATGGGGATTTATGTTTTTCCGACCAGCAACTCATTCTTGGTTGCCCATTCACATGCAAGTTCTCACATAGTTAAGGCTTCTAACCAGAAATTTTGAAAAAGGTAAACCACCAGACTAGTGTTTCTCAACCTTTTTTCTAATAGTGGCAATCTCAACTTGGTAATTTTTTGGTTGAAGTGTTATGACGCTGTTCAGCACTATATTTTGCGACGCTTCCAAACCGACTGAAAGCCGCTGCACTAGGCACTTTTTGATTGAAAAGTACTAATCCTGTTTAGATCCATTTTCCATGAAAACATTTTCCTTGTTTGCTTGAGTACATTTTTAAATAAGCTAGTTAGAAACTTGATAATCTGAGATCAAATGTTTGTATTTCTAATTGCTTTTCATTGTCATGTTTTGAATTTATATAAAAATGCATAATTTGTAGAATTTGCCGTTATAAAAGTTTACAGAAGCTAGCTTATGATTGGTCGAGTCTGTCCGTCATCATTCATTATTCTCAATTGTAGACCTTGCAGAACCCTTGGATATGTGTTAAGCCATTGTACTATGGCCATCTTGATGTCCATAGAACGAATAAAGTTAAAAAAGGAAAAAATAATTTTTTTAATTATTCCATTATCTATAAACCGTTAAAGAACAAAATAAAACCAACAATCTAACATTATCTTGTTTTATGCATTAAACAAATCATCAACCAAGTTGCAATTGATTCGGAGGTTCGTATTGTCTTTCATAATCTTGTTTTAATCGCGCGTACATTTACTTGCTTACTCTTTAGCAATATGAATAAAGAAAATGATAATCTTTCAATTTCATTATTGATAGTCAAGTCCGGCTATCTAAGACTACGTAATTTTTAGGGATAGGGTGCATTGGCCAATCATCAGGACTGGTGAGGTGGTCAAAATTTGCAAAATATTGGGCTACATAATTTGTGAACGTTTCCTGACCTAAGACCAAATCGTTAGATAAATTATGACAAGTGTTAGGATGGTTTTATTAAATTTTGGTTGATAAACATATTGTATTAATTTTGAGTTTAGCCTACTTACAAGCCTAAAGCTGGTCGAAACTAAACTGGTCCCAAATCAAATAAAATTACGGTTATCATAAAAAAAAACTTACTAAATGGAATTAAACATCACATTTTAAACTTTAATTACTTTATATAGGCGCAATTTTATCTAAATCTGTGTTTTTGTTCTTATTTTACTGGGTTTCTGTATACATTTTACTATGACAATTCCCTTAATGCAATATGAAGCTAAGCAAATTTTTTATTTAATTTGAATGTAATTATATATATATAATTACATTGTCATATCAAAATTTCTACTTATAAGTACCCAATTGATTGTTAATGTTTAATGACTTATCAATTTTATATTTTTATCAACAAAACAATGTATAAATACAAAATCACATTTAAATTCCTAATGTTTTGATAAATAAATGAAAAGCTTTTATTTCTTGAAATTTTAATAAATTTTATTAATAAAATAAATTTACTACACAATAACTTTATCATGTAATTAAAAATTAAAAATTATAGAATTTATTTCATTTTTCAAATATTTTTAAATTAATTTTTAATGGATAACATCATTTTCTTCAACAAGGAATATGCAATAAGTTATTAAAAATTTTTAAATATATTTTAAAAAATAAAAATTCTCATTATATTTATGAGTTATATTTAATATTCCAAAAATAAGAATTATAATTTTGAGCAAATGCTTTCAATTATCAGGTTTAATCATCATTCTGCACAGTTTTGAGTTAAATATTTTATTTCTTCTTGTTCATGGCTGAAATTGATAATTTTACTTTTCCAGGCATATTTCTGCAGATATCTTGTTCTTTAGTGCTTTTTAATAAATCTTTTTCTCTAGAAGTTGTACTTTTATCGTTAATAAAAATATTTAAAGCTGTTTTAGCTGCTTTACCTCTCTTCCCAGAACCTGGTACTACTTTGACTTTAAATTTGTAATTTTGCATGGCAGAATAAGGAGCACAGACTGGAACAGCAAACAGAAGTGTGTCTTCAGAAACAGGACAGCCAGTAAGAGAATTTAAAGTTTTCTCATCTTCATTTTGTCTTAAAATGTCTTCAGTTACATCCACTTCTTCATCTGAATTTTCCTGTTCCTGTTTAGAGTTTTTCTCATTTTTCAATTCACATGTCGCTACATTACCACTGGATGAATCAGCTTCCATATTCACAATATTCTCATTCTTTAGATTATTTGATTGTTGAATCTTTTGTTTTAACTGTTTATTTTGATGTTGCATTTCTTTATTTTCTTTTTTCTCCCGTTTCTTCTTCTTTGAATCATTCTCTTGCTTCTTTTTATTTCCCGAAGATGCTAATATTTCCATTCTAAGCTGTCTTTCTTCTTCATCTTGATCCTTATATTTTTCTTTAATTTTTTTAAGTTTAGATTTCTGACCTCTTTTTTGTTGATTTTGTGGATTCTGTTCTTGATTATTCAATTTTTTTTCTTTCTGATTTTTAAAGACCTGAGATTGAGAATTAACTGTTTTCTGTGTTTTGGCTATTTTACCGGAATGAATTATCTGTTGTTCATTTCCAAGAATTGTAGAGTTAGAATCCTTTGTATCCTCAATTGACAAATTTGATAATTTCACAACAGTATCAGGAAAATTGACTGATTCTTCAAAGCTTTGGTTACTGAAGTTCTCATTTTCATAAATTTTTTCTAAGCTTGATGTATCACTTTGATCTTTAGGGTTTAATTTTAAAGAATCAGAAGTATTTTCATCATTTATTTGTTTATTAACTTCTGCAGGTATATCACTTGAATTACTCTCTGTATCAGAAAATTTGCTTAAATCAATTTCTGTTTCTAAGTTACATTCAACTGTATCACATTCATTTAATTTTTCTTCCTCTTCTTCTATTTTTAGTTTTCTTTCATCTAAATGCCTCTCTATGCTGTCTTCATCAAGTTTAAAGAGAAAGCCAAAACCAACAATTAAATGTGAAGGAGGCAGAAAATTCTTCTTGCCTCTAATCATGAAACTTCCAGGAACTAAATATTCACCAGTTGGGGCTGTTTTTGTTACTTGGTGATGGTAAACCCACCAAGCACTAGTAACTATTTTTTCATTCCAGGCTGCACTGTAACATATAGCCATTGCTCCTGCTTCATTCAATGTCTTTGGTGGTATTGGCTTACCTGATGGATTTTTTATTACTACACTACTTGCTCCATGCAACTCTGCATGAACATATATATCTCCTGCTTTCATGTAACGCTTTACTATTAATTCATTCTGCTGTATATCTCGTCCCGCTATAACAATGTAGTTTTCTGAACTGATAAACCACAAAAATTTTTCAAACCAAAATGTTTTCCGAGCTTTCATAATATTAGATGTTACGGCAACTTCTTTGAGTGTTTCTTTAGCTTTCTTTTCAGCTGACTTATATGCTTTTACTGTTGATTCAATTGTTTTTTGTTGTTTTTTGGCAGCATGCTTTTTATGATCATAATATTTTCTTGCATTTCCATAAGCTGATAAATCAAGATCTATATCCACTATACATGGTTTATCATCAAGATTATCTGTGTTGTACACATCACTATTATTATTATTATTATTATTATTATTATTGTTATCATCATCATCATCATCATCCACATTGCTTCTTATAAATGGATTATAAAGAATCATTGTAAAATGATTAGTATCAAGTTTTAGACCTTTGATTGACTTTGCTATAGGATCTCCTTGTTTCTGTGCATCCTGTATGAGATTCCATATATTAATCCAACTTATTTGATTTGCAATAGCACTCTGGATAGTTAAAATAGCACTCTGAACTAGGTCTAAATTCACTTCAATATATTGAGCTTTTCTTTGATCTTCTAACTGAGCTTTCTGTAAGGTTCCAATTCTACTATCATGGTCTTTCTTAATGTTTTCTAATTTTTTTAAGGCTTCTTTCTCTTTTTGTAATGTTTTAATATCTATTTTTTGACTTTCAAGATTAGAGAAAAAATGATCAGTTGCTTTATTAAATGTAGGAAATTCACTATAAGGACTCTTCTTATGTTGTAAATATAGCATAGGATGAAATTCTATAAATGTTAAAACTTCACTTTTTTCGTTCTGATTTGAAGACACACCCTTCACAGCCTTTTGAATAATATATCCTGAACTCAAAGAATTTGAAAGTGACTTCATTATTTCTTCAGATTTCTTAACAGCTAACATGATTTGTGAAACATCCAAGAAATCATAATCTTTTCCAATTTTATAATTCGGAGGAAAACCAACACTCAACAATGCATGTTCGATAAGAGCTGGTCCACACATCAAATGAGGAATCAGTACCTTCTTCAGCAAATCACCTTCCTTAACAGTTTTTAAAATTTCAAGAAGTTTGTCATTTGAAAGCGATTCCTCCTTCCTCGCCAATTCCACGGGATACTTCTCTCGAACGACTAAACGGACGTCTTCATCTCCAACAGTACGAGGCCTCAGTATATTCAATATGGTATATTCGTTATCGGTTAAAACAATATTTCCTTTATCATATAATTCAATTAATATATGGTAACACGCTTCATTTATACCAAACTGCATATCCACAACTCTATCAACTCCCAGCTGATTGATGGCTTCAACTCGCTTGTTCTTTATATGTTTTCTTAATTTCATAGTAAAACCATGAGGTGCCACACTCTTTGGCCATTCGTAATCGGTTTTATGTATTCTAATTCCCGATTCTACTAAGATTGTACATTTCTCTTCTTGTCTAGCCAACTTAAACAGGTAGGTTTTATGGTCGATATCATATACTTGAGATAATCTCATCCCAATAACATCCTTTAACTCCAATAAAATTGCTACTAAGTCAGTACTATCAAATCTAGACTTCATGTTTACTTTTTCTGTGTAATAAAATCTAATATTTGAAAAACAAAATTACAAACAGAACGTTAATAACGTCACATCGAGTAACTTACTCTGCCATCTTTTTCGTTGCTCTTTAATTTTACGCCACCTGTGGGAATAAATAACATTTTGAATATTTTTTGAAATTTATTATCGTACTTATTTAAATTAATACCCAAAAAATGTAATAAATAGCTAAAAATATTTAAAATTATATATTTGATATATATATTAAAACATTCAATTTTCATGAATTGATTTCTTCGTTAACTCCATCTAAACAGAAGTCGGGTATTCGATATTCAATAATAATATTATATATGTGTTTTTTTACGGACTGACTTATTAATGCATTAAAGTTATATCAAAATTATATAATATATTCTAAAATATCAAATAAGGAGCAGTCCACGAATTACGTGTACAGTTTGAGTCACTTTTCACCTCCTTCCTCCTTGTGTACGATAATGTAGTTTTGACAAACTCCATTCCCTTTAATTGTAATAGTTCATGGACTCACATGAAATTCTGCAAATATTTTCTAACTGTTTGTTTATTTATATGACCAATAAGTAAGCTTAAAAGAATAAGTTCGTACGCCACTAATACCAGTAACTGGCGGCCCGGCCTTGATGATTTCTTTTCTAAAAATCAATATTTCTAACATCTTGCGGGAATTAAAACAGAAAAAATTTAAACCTCTAATTGTTTACGTAAGTCGTAAAGCTTGGCAACAAAAAGGCCATTGTTAGACCTTTTTTTAAAATTACAGTATGTTTTGGTTTACCAAATAATATTGATAACGGCCGCGGCCGTTATATATGTTACCGGCCAAACCCGATTTCAAGCCAAACTAGTTTATCCTACGCATGTCAGGATATACTAGTTTAGCCTAGGACAGGGGTGGCGAACCTATGGCATGCGTGCCCAAAGTGGCACGTAAGGAGAAATCATCTGGCACGTAATGTATCATACGATTTCTGTCTTTTTCAATCATCTTTTCCGTTTATCACCTGATTATCCTTTTTTCAATCGGCTTTTTTACATTTATTATAATTAAAGCGTATTCGTTTAATTTCTTTAAATATCGTTATTCGAAATCTGAAACTTTGGAACGCATAAACATCTTTAAAGCTAAGTATGCTTACAATATGGCACGCGAACACAAAAACGTTCGCTATCCCCGGACTCGGACAATCTAGTTTGGCCTAAATACTTTAGGCTTAGTTTGTCCTAGGCCGAACTGATTTAGAATTATTATTTAAGTCAGGCCTGGCCAACCCAAATTGTTTTGCGGGCCACTTTGATCAAGCGTAACATTACAATGGGCCACAATTTAGGCAAACATGCTTTTAAAAAAGTAAAACAAATACAAAATGAATAAGAGTTCATTGTTATACCAAGAGTTCGTACTCGCACTTGCGCATTATAACAATGACACATGCAAATTTTCATTTATTTAATTGTTTTGGTATACACAAAACGGAAAACGAAAGTTTTAATAGATATATAATATCGCTTAGCGTGCCACACAATTTAATGTGATGGGCCGCGGGTTGGCCAGGCCTGATTTAAGTATATTAATGGTTAAAATAAAATTAAAAGGCAATCAATTAGATTAACAATATTTATTCAAACATAGTCTACTTAATTATAAAAAACGGTATTGATTAGAAGTGACACAACACTTGTACAAAACTATAAAATAAAAAATAAGCTAATCAGTACTTATCAGTTTGTATTTTTTTATTAAACCATGCACTTTTAAAGGTAATTAACTTTCGAGAATACTGTATTTTCAAAAATTCAAACGAAATAATAAAAATAACTTTTAGAGCCTGTACACACTAGGCGTTTTTCAACGCGCGTTAAACGCGCGCTTTTAAACGCGCGTTTAATTAAAGAACCAAGAGTTCTATGTAGCCGTACACACTCAAACGCGCGCTTTTGGCCAAGTGCGCGTTAAACGCGCGTTTATAGATTTTTGTTAAAACGCGCGTTTTGCGGGCGTTAGCCGAGCGCTTTGAGATATATGTGCTGCCATGTTACCGTACATGCGATCGCGCGTTTTCCCAGCGCTTTACGGGCGCTTCTAGATTTACGCCATCATTTTGCTGTATTATGCGCTTTTATTATGCTGTATTATGGATCGCGCGCTTTTGGGTAATATCTACTTTTATAATATGGAGTAAGTCATCAAATGATTTTATAGACATTCTAAAATAATTAAAAAACTTGAATTTATTTTGTCTTAGTTTTGGATACAACGTCGCAAACATTTCATGCGTCAGTCTATCTCGTAATATTGGGTGCAGACAAATTTCTCTTTGCCTCTGCCGTCGTCTTTTATAGCGACGATAGAGGAGCCACACACAAGCAATCACTTCCACATCCATTTCCAAACCGAGTCAGTGCGCACGCTCCGCTAAACGCTTGTTTAAAAACGCCTAGTGTGTACACAGCCTAAAAGTCGAACTAAAATTAAAAAAGAACTTGTTTGTGTTTCTTAGTGTAACATATAAAATATTTAATCTTTTATTTATTTCTACAGGATGGGTTATAGTGTACCCAAGTCACCCCAATGATGGCACTTCGGACTGTTCGCGCTCCCGGGGGACTCCTCCCGGAGGCGAGCCGCCGGCAGGCCGCCCATTGTTTAACGTCACTAGTTATTGATTTACGATAGTTCTTGAACAAAAGAAAAAAAAAGGAAACGTCTACTAAAAATGTATTGATAATTAACCTAACCAAACCAACCTAACCGAAACACCGCCATTGGGGTTACCTAGGTGCACTTTAAGCACCGGATGTACAGTAGTGGCATTTCGAATTACACAAAATAATTTTTTTAACTGGCATCTATTTGTAGTACATAAATCAGTTCGGCCTAGGTCAAACTAGTTAAGCCTAAAGTATTTAGGCCAAACTAGATTATCCTAGGCTAAACTAGTATATCCTGACATGCGTAGGATAAACTAGTTTGGCCTGAAATCGGGTTTGGCCAATAACATATACATCTATTTGACTGGCCCTTTGCTGCGTTTGAGTTTGAGACCCCTGATGTAGACAATATCTTCCTATTCATCGTGTACAATGATGTACTTTTCGTGACTCATCCCCTTAAATTCTTCACGTAATTAAATTAATGGGTAGCTCCCTAAGAAAGCATCGCTAACATGTTTAAATTGCCAAAACATCATTCTCACTTTTCCTTCGCAATTTTTCTTGTACGTTATAAAGAACATGTTAGTATATTTTTAATTAGAATTATTTGTTTTGATCATATTTTTTACATAAAGTATTCGGTATGATGAAATTGTTTTCAAGTTTCAATTGATTTATTGGGCATTATCATTCGCATATAACTAATTTCTTAACAATAGAATAGAAAAGATATAGTCAAAAATTTTTATGTATAATACAGGATTGTAATTCAAATTACAACTATTAAGAACATTTAACGGATATCTTGAAAAAAGGCTCATCATATCCAATACATTTTAGTCCAATGGTTATTGGTTTACGGGGTCAGCAGCGTATTATGACCTATTTAGGCTCACTTTGTCCGTTAAGGATGACCTGGCTATTGACAGATAAAGGAATGGAACAAAAATTGACACTACAACTCGAATTATCCGCGATAAATTATGAAATTCAAATCCGAACCGGATCGTCACTATGACAAGACAAGACGATAGGAATGGGCCTATTTAATATAGTACCGTACCAAATATCCGTCTTTCGTGAAACCTGTTATTGTTGAAACTGGTTGATTTTGAATTTGGCGAGTTGTAGTTCGCCGTGCAGCCACGTTATTTACTTTTCCGTAACATACAGTCTGCCTGTGTGGCTTTTTTAAAAACTCTTTTTGCCCTGTGGGCACTAAGGGGACCTGTTTTAGCAAGCCCATTGTGGATTCGGCCAGGCCCACAATGGAGCGGATGGTTGGTGAGGGACGGGGCCCAATGTATCCGGACGTTCCATCCCCGAAAATTTTCTGGAGATTTTTCGACCTGTCCGGATTTCATCCGGGTCCCGCAGAGCAGTAGGCTGCCACCTTAACCATTCGGCCACAGTGGAAAGACGGCCAGATGGCCATCTTTCCACTGTGGCTGCTGGCATACGGTAGACTATATTAAAAACAGTTTCGTTCTTAATTTTCCATTGTTTATTTTATTTTTTAAGTATGTATATACTGTAAGTAGCCTATGTCCAGGAAACTGGAAAATGTACAGTATTGTTAAAAATCCGAACCTTGTAGTAATGTGTTACCCATATTTTTATAATTTATCCTTTTATGTCTTCTGTTACTTCGTTCTGTTTTTCTCCCTCATTCTCTTTGCCAGATGTACGAAAAGGGAGTACTCGGTCTATACCTGTCATGCTTTTATCCAGGTCCACAATAGGCCTGACTGAACTCATGTGAGGTGTGATTAAAAGACCCTCTTAGCGCCCATGGAATGGGAAGAGTCAAAATATGGGGAAAAACCACCAATACGGCCGTTTCAGATAATGACGAATTTCACGAGCACGCACAAGATATAGCCTATAGTCTATACCTATTTATTTTTTGTTTATATTTTTTCCATACAAAGAATTAAGTATTAACAAACAATACTAAAATGATATAAATTTCAGTTATGAAAAACATAATTTTTCTTCAATTTTTAAATACATTAAAAGTTTATTTATTTTATAACTGCGCTCGAGTTAGCTTTACTGTACTGTACGGTACTTCGAAAGGTGGACATATAGATTTTTAAATATCATACGGAGGCCATGTTCTTCATTTTAACTTTAAAAAATAATCTTTTGTTTTACAAAACGTACAATAATTTTATCTGTCAAAATTTAGTAACTCCAAACAATCCAAAAGCGTAATACTGTAATTAATTTTTTGCATTAGAAGAGTGATTTTTTTTTACATTAAGCCTATTCAAACAAATCATCAACGTCACAATTTGTTCTCTATTCATAGTTTTTTATGCGGTAAGAAAAGCCAACACGAGTCTAGACAATCATATAAATAGTAAGACAAAATTTTAATTAAAATATTAACTCCAGTATTTAAAAATTAATACTTAATACATAG